TTTTCTTTGCTTCGCCGGCCAGGGTTGGGGTGTTAAGAGGGTGTAGAAGGCATTGTTTTCTGTGTATCTTTGCGTTCTGTGCTTGAAGATGTTTGTGCTTTCGAAGTACGGGGTTGGACTTTGCGGTAGCGGTATGCGGTTTATGGCACTAAGAGGTCCAGGTTGTAGGATGCTTGGGGAGATGGGATCCGAGGTGGTTAGGGCTTGGGATTCAAGGCACACAGTCTGGGGTGACAGGGTTCAAATTTAATTAACTAACCCAGTGGCTTGAAAACAGTCAATAAGGGTTTGGGAAATGATTGTCGCCTAGGCCTGGGAGGAAATGTCACGGCTGCCGGATCTAGGCTTTTGGGTTTTGGGTATACCTGTAGCCCAAAAGACCTATCTTTTGAGGGAACTATATATAAAAAAACATAATAAGGAACCCCAAAAAGGTCGGTCTTTTCGGCTACAGGTAGGGTTTGGGATGCCTTCCGATTTTTTGGAGGCGGAGGTTCTGTCAGGGGTGCTGCCGGGATCTCAGGATTCGCCTTTTGACTCGATGTTTTGGGGACTGGAGTCATGACGGTTTCATGCAACACAGGGGCCAGCATCATGAGAACAGGGAACAGGATTTTCGGGTTTTTACAAAGTAAAGTGAGACAAATTGCCTAAAGGGACACTACTGGCACTTATTCAGGCTTCTATATTATGCAGCCTGTGGATTCTGACCATCTGGGGATGCCGACCTTCGCTCCACACCCTGAACCTCAGACCCCAAAGCGTAATGCAATAACAGCCACAGAGCCCAAGAGCCCCAGCGCTCAGATGTGCCTGGTGGGAGAACTTGATAAACTCAAAGCGCAGGAAGTACCTGGCAGCACTGGCCGCTTAGACCCACAGGCTCTGAAAGCCTCCAAGCTCAGGACCTTGTTCGGGTTCGCAAGTTCAGGGCCTCTAATTTATATACTTGCGAACCCCATGCGGACAAAATTGAACTTGACACGTGATGACCACTTCGGTACTTTATGTCCCGCATTAGATGCTATGCTGCAGCACGTGTGCTGACCAGAGCTGCTGCAGTGTTTCCCTGAAGGTGCAGCATGCCCATCTAACAGCAGCATGAAAAGGGCCATTGAGGTGAAGCTTCGGATTGATTGCAGTCTACGACACCGGCAATCGAAGTCTGCTGGTCTTCGCGCTACCCCTTTTCACTGTCAGGAGAGCCTGCTGAAGGCATTCAGCAGCAAAGTTTAGATTCGAGCTAGTATAGGGGCAGGCCCCTATGGCACATAGTATTCGTAATTATTTAAGCCCTTATAACAAGGTAGTTGGTCTTTTCCCGCGGAGGCACTGCACCAGCAAGGATGCCATCGCTGTAACCTGCAGTCTTCAAAACCCAAGCCCCCCAACTTACCGTTGGTTAGGTAGGGAATGAAAGGGGCCTTTTCAAGGGGTCTATAAGGGTTACTATAAGGGATCGATAAGGGTACTATAATATGGGGGCCTCAGTAATCCTATAACTTACCTTTGGTTAGTAGGGAATGGAGGAATGGGGCACAATTGTAATTACTATTACTACCATTCTCCCATTCCCTACTAACCAGCGGTAAGCCAAGCCCTCGGATGCGGAGTACCTTCTGAGTCCAAGTTGTGCGTAGAGCTTAGTTTAGGGTTTAGGGTTAAGGCTTGAACCCTGATCAAGCGCAGGTGACCAAAAACAAGGGGTGCTCTGAAACACTGGGACCCCCTCCCCAAGCTGGCAAGGTCAGAGCATAGGCTTTAGGGTCTGGGTCTTCAGGTTTAAGGCTTGAGGTGTCGACTGTGTTTTTTTCGGCTTCGTACGCTTTATGCTCAGTTAGAAAGGAAGGATTAGTACTGTTCATAATTCAGGCTTCTATATCACAAGTGCTCGGGATTCACGCAGGGTGCGTCTTTAGGTTTAGGGCATCCAGACTCTCTGCATGTGATCAGCCAAATGGCCGACACGAGGCCGCCGACATAACTCCAACCACGGCAGCTCACCAGCATAGCCTGCACAGGCAAGTCGCTTACAGGAAGCAGGGTATGGAGCCAGAGTGCACAACTGAGATGCTGCTTTCTCTTGGTTGCGCCTTTGCCTCTTGCTCCGATTAGCAGTGTGTGTAAAACAGCGTCAAACGAGCACGTGGACATGAGAACCGTCCGACCCTGGATTTCAACTTTACGAACTGCACGATGATTCTGCGACAAGCTACGGGCACAGGAAAACAAAGGTGCCTAAAGACATACGCTGCTCTAGGGGATATTAGGGTGCATGTTTCTGGATGACAAGCCTTCGGCTAAGACCCACAAGCCCGATAGATTTCTGATACATGCTTTCTGAAAGCTTCACCAGGAATCCAAGATCGAAGTCACAACTTGACATCCAAGATTCCTGGCCGAGCTGAACTAAACCAAACTTGTTGCAGATTACATCCCGAAGTCTTAAGCCTGAAGAAGAATGAAAGGTCTACAAGCACAACTGCTAAACATGCCTGGTTTAGGGTCTGGGGTCAGTAACCCTTTAAGGAGACTTTTGTGGATCCGTCATAGAGGCATGTCTGTGTATACAGAAGGAGGAAGGCATGTGTGCGTCATATGCGAGTAAGAACGTAGACATGCGTGCAGGCAGAAGCGAGTACGGAAAACTCGAATTGCATCTCTCAGCCCTTGTTGCTTGTCTGTTGAGTTGCAGAGTTGTATACATATACGTTTACTCACTCTTTTACTCTTGCACAAACTCGCGCACACACACACACACACACGCACAAATGCATAACTAGATAACGGTCTTCGAACACTCTGCATGGTGGTCCCATACCCGAAGGGTCCATGGACCCAAACAATATATACTGTGGCCCGAAAGTACCTATACAGGGATTACTTTAAGACCAATGGACCGTTAAACCCTATGTAAACCCTATAGATCCATTATAGAACCCTTATTGATCCCTGTGAAGGAACGGGTACATTACATGGACGCTTAGAGATAGTAGGCTGCCGGCCGTCAAGGCCAGCAGCTGCAGGCGCGTCAAGAGATCCTGGCATCGGGTTTGGGGCTCAGGATTTAAGGGTTCTGAAACGGATTCTAGCCGGGTCTACAGGGGTTTAGGGTTGAGGGGTTTCGAAGTTCAGCCCTGGAACGAAACTGCGAAAATTGCTCAAATGTGGCGGAATCTCACAACTATAGATGCCGAAAGGTTAAAGTTCAGCTGCTAGTACTCGGTGATGAAGGACATGCCACGCTGCGAGATTCGGATCGTTGCTCAATGCTGACGACAGAGCATTTTGGAAAAATATGCACACCGCGCGCACATGTCTGTGCGCATGTACATGCGTCCGAAGGTACGGCAATAGCAATGTACAAATGTACGAACGAACGAGTGAAAGAATGAATGAATGAATGGTGTATGGAGGCGGAAGATCGGTAAACTTCTTATTCCCCTTGCCCTTCTCTGCTTCCCCTTGCCACTGGAAGAGCTTCCCCTCTTGCGTTTGGGGGTTACAGTTTAGTATCCTTTAAGCACATAAACAAATAAACATATACATATATATACAGAGGTATGTTTAAACCAAAAAAAGAACCACAATGGAAGCCATAGGTGAGCCTGCAGCAGCTTCATCAAGCTTGCCTGTGATTCCAGACCGCCTGAACCCTTTAGCCACTTCGTAGAGCTTCTCTTCGCGGATGGTTTAGGGTTTTAGGGTTTAGGGTTTAGGGTTGTCCTATTGATTCAAGAGCCAGTCTGTTGGCTTCATGTAAGGATGCATGGAAGTCTGGACGTAAGGATGGATATGGTTTCGTGTCATATACATGGGAGGAAAACCCGAACCACTGAAGTCAGAACAACATCTATGGTGGCTAAGAGTCGAGAGCGGCTAGCTTCAGTGCAGGGTGTAGACACATCCACAACGAAAGGTCTAGGCCCTATAAGGGGTTTAGGGTTTGGGGGTTCAGGGGTCGGGTTTGGGGTTTATAGAAATTGTTAGGGTTTGGGTGCCAATAACGTTTTGACCGAAAGTTTTGAGCGAAAATTTTGGTTTTAGGAACCATTTTTGGCAAATGGTCTGGGGGGGGGGGGGGGGGGGGCGAGCTGGGCTGGGCTTTGCTGGGCTGGGTGCTAGTTGTTGCCGAAAGTTTCGACCGAAAGTTTTGAGCGAAAGTTCTGGCTTTAAGAACCATTTTTGGCAAATGGTCTGGGGCGGGGGTGGGGTGGGCTGGGCTGGGCTTTGCTTGGCTGGGTGATAAGATCGGATTGATATGGAGTTGCAACGCTCTTATTGACTAGATCAGCACTCCTATTGACGTTGCCTTATTGGTTGTTTGTGCGATACGTTTTTCCGATGAGACTATTGCTTCTGCTATTGATTTCGCCCTCGAGATACAACCCCGAACCACGGCGTGTGGTCGGATCTGAGCAGGTTTGGTCCTATTGAGATGGTCGTGCAGCTGCATTTCCCGCTATTGGTCATGCTGCTGCCCGTCGTGCTGTTCTTTAGTGAATGTGAATATTGATTTCAGGAACATCCTTTCGATGTTTTGCAGTTTGAAAAACACCCGTTCAATAAGACCAAGGACCAGAACTTTGTTGACTAGGTTCCATAAGGAATTCCCCGGGAGCTCAACTACTTGGTGTGTTCCCGAGGCCAGGGCGGAATCCACGACAATGATGCCAGCCTAAGAAACAGTGGAATACGCAGGCGGGAATCAACAACCGAACAAACAGAGCCCGACCGGCGTCAGAAGGCTGAGCCGACACTCATGCTTGAGGTACTCCGCCCTCTCCTGGATAACGAGACGAGTCGATCCGCGACGGGCTCCGTCACTGAGTGGGAACAATTCGATACCTCTTCCAGCGCATCCATCCAAGAGGGGTTGCCGGAGACCACACGCAGGCCGGACATATTGCACCTGCTTAGCACGACAGAGACAGCGGCAAGAGAGAATCTCTCTGCAATGGCGAGGCCGGGACAAAGCAGAGGCAAGTTACAGTTTCTACACAGGCGCTTCGAGCAAATGCTGTCACAGTTGCTATAATGGTTCACATGCAAGACCAACACCGCAGCCATGAAAGTTGGAGAGTTTGCTGTTTTGAATTCTTCAAGTGGCCAATCAATAGCAACTTTAATCACTCAGCAGTCTAATCACAAAAAAATGAAGTTGAAAGGTTTGTCGAAGCTCGTGAGGAGACGCGGCTTCTGACTCCTGCGGAACTAGCCAACACACGCATATGGTTGTCACCGTTGGAACACTCATCGAAGCTGTACCTTTCGCTTGCCAACCGTCCTGTCTTGTCACGACTGCAGTCGCACACTGATTCCAAGGCCGGCTGCAGATCTGGGCGAGGGGCTGGACCTGTTGGAGCTGGGCACCTTGGGGCAAGGGCCTGCTGAAGCTGCGCTGCACCTTGCGGGGCTGAACCTTATTTGGGGCTGGGGCTGCGACCCTGGTTTTGGGCTGGGTTGGGCTTGAAACTGAGGGTTTGGGTGCCAATAAGTTTTGAGCGAAAATTTTGGGCAGGTTTCTTTTTTGGAACCACATTTTGAATTTGGGCTCGAGCGAGAGTTTCGAGCGAAAGTTTTGGGCAGGTTTCGTCTTTTGAAACCACATTTTGAATCTGGTTGGGGGGGGGGGGGCCTCGGGGGCCTGCTGGAGCTGGGCTGAACCTGGGCTGGGGCTGCGACCCTGGTTTTGGGCTGGGTTGGGCTTGAAATTGAGAAATTGTAAAGGGTTTGTGTGCCAATAATCAGTTTTGAGCGAAAGTTTTGGGCAGGTTTCTTTTTTCGAATTGGGGCTTGGGGCTGGGGCTTGGGGCTGGGGCTTGGGGCTGGGGCTGGGCTGGGGCTGGGGCTGGGTTGTCTGGGGATGGGGCTGGGGCTGGTGGTGCAATTTGGGGCGAAAGTTTTGACCGAAACGTTTTGACCGAAACGTTTGACTGAAACCACATTTTGAATTTGCTGGGCTGGGCTGGCTTGGGCTGGGCTGGGCCTGGGCCGGGCTGGGTGGGGGCCTGGTTGGCTGGGCTGGACTGGGTCGGGCTGCTTGGGCTGGGCTGGCTGGTGGGCTGGGGCCTGGGGCGCGGGGCTGGGAGCTGGGCTGGGTTGCCTGGGTTGAAGGTTGTAAAGAAATTGGTTTATCAAGAAGCTCGTTCCGTTTTTGAGCTCCAGCTCAATGTTGGCCGGGCCGTACCGGCGGTTACAAGTTTGTAGAGAAATTGGTTTATCAAGAAGCTTGTTCAGTGATTAACCTGTGTGTTGGGCCGTAGCGGTGGTTGCAAACAAGGACAAGCAATTTCTATTTATCACTGTCTTGAGGGTTTAGGGTTCAGGGGTTTAGGGTTTAGGGTTACTGACGAGGTGCTATGATTTCCAGGCGCGTGCTGCTTCGCTCAGTCGGAGGAGTCTGTGAAGACTTTCGCGAATTTTTGGGAGTTTCCGAAGATAGGGGACCCTAAATCTCGTACCCTAAATAGTAGGATCCTTATTATAAGGACCCCAAAATAAGGTACTCCTAATTTTCGGAAACTGCCAATCTTACCACACAGTCACTAAGAAAGGCTGCTCTGGTGCCACCAGAACCCACTTGTAGGAGCAGGGACTTAGCAACTAGGTTTATTGGAACCTTAATGGTCTTAAGTGGGATTGTAAGCAAATCAAAGTAGAGTTATCTTATATTATATCCTATCGTCATAGCTACTTCGTCCCACGATCCTCATTGCATGCGGTCATGGTAGGGATCAAATCAATGCGCTGAGTTTCCGCCCGGTCTTCATAGAGAGCGGAAGAGTTAAGCGAGAGAAATTATTGCCGTCCAGTAGACTTAGGGTTTAAGGCTTAGGGTTTGGGGCTTGGGGGTTTCGGACTTTAGGGTTGAGGGCTTCAGGGTTTGGGGGTGTGCGGTTGAGGGAGTGTGCAAACGCGCAAGCAACACTGGATGCTGCAGAAAGAAGAACCTGAGCAGACGCCGCAATCAGATTGGCTCAGATCCTCAATATCAGATCAATTAGCATGAGGTGTTCAAGGTAGATCATCATTGACTGTAGAAAGGAACGCAAAAGGAACAGATCCCTTTGAATATTCAGGCTTTTACTGTAACCCCTTCGAGCCATCAACCCCAGACCTGGAAGATTGAAGAAGTTACGACTGTATGGTAGCTCGCAAAATCAGGGTCCCATTTTAGGCCCCCCCAAAATAGTACGGCAGATAAAAGCTACCCTATGATATATAGGTACCCTGAACCCTAAACCCCTTTCGATCGAAACTACATATGTGTAGTATTAGAAGTTATATTTGTGCCCTAAACCTATACCCCTTCCCTGCCAACAGCTGCAAAGGCCAATTATCAAAAGCACAACATTTCTATAGGATCTTTCTCGCAAAAACAAAGGCAAGAAGTGGACATTTCCCAATACAAGATATATCCCCTAAGCCTGAAACACCACGGCATCTCGTGAATCTCGTGGACGGTCATAAACGACTTTACGTTGCGCATACGGTCTGCGTGTGCAGATGAAAACCTCCAAAAAACGTTGTTGGCACACCCCGTCCCTAAACCGCTGACGAGGACCAGTGGCCCAAGAACTCTCAGACTTCAAGCTCCTGTCGAAGCCAAAACGGTGCCTAAAACTCTGAGAATTATACGCCCTTAGCCCTGTAAAGCCTAAATTCTAAACCATGACTCTGGACCCCAAACTGTACACCGGAAGCCATAAAGACTAAAACCCTAAATCCCTCACCCCAGCAAGTTGGGGGCCCTGCGAAACGAAAATCATCAAGGGCTCTGACCTGTGAACTCTGTCTTTCGAGGGCTTCGGTTGAGGGTTTAGGGTTTTAAGGTGTGTAGAAATCACACATTGCTGTTTAGGGTTTAGAGTTGTTCTGCACTCAAAAACGCTCGTGAATACTGCTTTGAGTGATGGTGCCGTGTTGGGGGGCTAGAATGGGCTAGAGGTGTACTGCTTAATCTTGGTGACTAGAGTACCTTGCGAAACAGTTAACTATGTGTCGATTTCAACAGTCCCTCGAATTTTGTCGTAATTAGGGCCCTTTATATCGTAATAAGGGAAAACAAACACCACAACTCGATACCTAGTTCATGTGGAGTCCTAATACTTCCGAATCTGCCAAATTACGATGTCTGGTGCTCATTCTTGCGAGCCATATGACAAACATGTGCTGCATCAAGGCAGCCAGACCGATCGCAGGCACTCTTCTTCTGCTTGTCGCGAGTGCTACCAGCACGCCATCTGCAAAAAGCTGATTATTTTCCTGTTGTAGAAGCTAGGGTTAGGGGACAGTTGGGGTCTACAAGTTGTAGACCCTCTCAATAAGGTCCCCTGTAAGAGAGCCAGAAGTAAGGGTAAGAAGGGTCACCTTTTGAGGGGTCTCCCTCATACTACCTAGGAGTGGTCATCGGCTTCAGTATAGGGCGGGCAATACGGGATATCCCTATCTTAACTTTTGCTTCCGTGCTTCATTGGGGCCGTACACCCTAAACCCTAAACCCTTGTTTTCGTCTGCCAGAATTGGGTTCCGCACCAAGCGCCGCAGCGACGAAGCGCTGCAGCCAGGAGCCTGGCAAGGGGGGCTTCGTCATCTGCAGCCGCCTACTGCAGCCAAAACACATAACTACAGTATACTATATATAGTAGATGATACTAGTTGCTTTAGTGGATACAGTATATCATATCTGATAGCATACTTCTTTACAGTATAGTTTCAGGCCCACAAAAGTCGTGTCGGAGCGGCGGCGACGAAGCCATCAAGCGTGGGCCACTTGCTGAACCTTCCTCAGAAGATTCAGGATTTGGGCTTGAGGGTGCTAGGCCGCACGTGTCTCAGGAAGAAACCCTGCATCCCGAATTGAGGTTGAGAGTTTTTGGAGGGACCCCCTTCAGCCGGAATAACCTACCTTTTTAAGGACTTCTATAAGGAAATCATAGGTAAGGAACCTTAAAAAGGTAGGTTGTTCCGGCTTAAGGCCAACCCTAAACTTGAGCCACCACTTCGCTCTTAGGAGCAGGAGGCTGAAAGCTCTGTATGCTTGAACTCTTAGGTCGTCTGACCAGCCCAAGGTGTAGAAGCTACACTTGAGGGATTTGCGGCTGGAGACAAAAAATTCACATAGAGGGCCAGTTAAAGTGTTTAGGGTCAGTTTAGGGTCTAGGGTGGAGGGTTTCACACACGCCTGAAGGTTGACGTGAGCTTGCAGAAAGCGAAACCTGCCTGCACCCATCAGGCAACCAGCAACATGGTACGGTCCTGCACGAATCACCACCAATAAAGTTGACTTCAGACATCCCAGTAGTGTACTTCCACATACGTGCAAGTACGTTAACAAGGGATCATGGGACTTAGTAAATCAGGGTTATAGCTATACGTAGAAATACTTACAGCTCCAATTAAGGTACTTATGATCTATAACTTACTGCGTATGTTCCCTGATCCTCTAAGTAATCACGCCTTTGTCAGTTGTCGAAGCCTGTTCTGCTAAGCCGAAACCCTATAGATTCTCAAGCCTCAACCCTTTCCCTGAACCCCAGCACCCTAAACCCTAAAGAACCTAACGGCAGCCTCATCTCAAGCCCCATGCCTTTCTGAGCCAATCCTGCCCATGTCACAGGTGGACATCCCACAAAAGAACTCCTGCCCCCCAAGAATCCTAGGGACTTTTAGGTAGGTGGTATTATTTGAGAGACCCCTTAAAGGGTACCCCTTCTGAACCCTACTTCTGGCTCTCTTAAAAGGGACCTTATTGACAGGGTCTTTATCCCCAAGGGTCCCCCTAATCCCAGCTCCCATTGGGGGGAGGGGGGTAGGGGCCCCTCCACCCCCTGCCCCTACCCAAAAGGGTCCCTATGAAAGAAAAGCTACCCTGAGCATTATGGCCTTTCTGTCGCTCTTGTAGCCTTAACTGAGCCTTGATTATAAACTGATACTGTAAGTCCCCTGACAACCTTCTCGCCAAACTCGAAACCTCAAGAACCACAAAAAAAGCATAAACCCCAAAATTGTAAGGCCACATCCCCAAGCCCTCCCAAAACCTAAACCCGACGCGCTAAATGCGAGTGCGCTGCCATTGGCAGAGACTCTGATGGGCTCTCCCAAATCTCGAAGCCGCGGCAGAGGCAACCTCGCTGCTAGGGTAGGGTCAAGGTATGGCTCCTTTCAGGGTGCCTTTAAGGGGATCTATTATACATCATAGGGATTTAAAGAAGGATTTCAGGGATAAGGGTTTAGGGTCTACTTGGCGGATCAGGGGATTTAGTAAGTAAGGGTTCTATAAGGGTCCCTGTATAAGGCTTCACGAATAATCGGAGTTATAAGTTATAAGCAACTGTAGGTACAGTTACCTCATTCATATCCCTGGCTGCCAGGCCCCATGATCCTTTGAGCAGGGACTAGGGGAATCTTGTGCAGGAGTTTAAATTAAGTCATTAAGCTCAGTCACCATAATAAGAAAACCATGTACTTCTTATAGATCTCGATTGTGGTACGAAAGAGTTCATTCCCCCAACAAGATGCCAAACAAGTAGGGGCTGAGGGCTCTTAAGGTTGAAGGCTTTTGAAGTTTAAGGCTTTTTGAGTTTAGGGCATCAGGATGTTTTGAAGTTCGATGCTTCGTTGTTTATGGGGTTAAGGGCTTCAGGGTTTCTATACTAAACTTGGAACCCTAGCAAAAATTACAAGTTTAGCCGTTTCTTAGGGAATATAATAACCAAAAATTAAAAACTATTTCTAAATACCCCTAAGGTTTAGGGTTTCTGGGGTGTGGGGTAAACCCGCTACTAGGTGCACTTCAGGATTCGGGTCGCAGGGAGTCCGGTGGTTGTTGTGGGGCTGCGGGGCATGTTTGGGGTTTAGGGTTTGGGGTTTAGGAAGTTTAGGGTTTATGTGGAATTTATGGTTTAATTCTTTTGAAGGGTTACGTTAGGGTTCTAGGGATTAAGGTTATAGGATTTTGGGGCGTTTAAACCTCCAAGCCCTGAATGCCCTAAGTATCCGAAACATGCCAGACCGGTCGAGAGGCTAGAGAAAAGCATGAGAATCGCCACCAAGATCAGCTTCCTCAGCTTGCAGAAGGGCTCTAAAGGGTCCCGGGGCTGCCGCCTTATAGTGTGTAAACGAATACCCTAAGGGTCCATGTACCCGTATAGCATATACTTTGGGCCCAATGTACCTATATAGGGAGTACTTTAAGGCCAATGTATATACTATATGAGTACATGGACCCTTAGGGATAAGGTTTAATGCCGAGGTTCAGATTTCATTTCAGGGTCCGATCCTTTTGCTTTCTAGGGGGCTTAGGGCTTTCGGGTTTAATTCGGGTTCTGGGATTTCGGTGGGGTTCACGGTTAGGGGCTGAGGGTTGAGAGTCCAGCGAGGGCTGTGCCGGCCACATGTAAGGTGAGAGCCCAGTGTAGGGTGAAGGGCTTAAGGTTGGGTAGGCGTGCGAGTCTTTGGCCACAGCATTCGGGTCACGGGCCCTTGCACGTGTGGGACAGCTCCGGCAGCGGGGATCAGAAGAGTCTTGACGATTCATCCCCAAACTCGCACCATGTATCGGCCAGATGCTTTCGTCTCTCGCGGGAGATATGTGAAATTCAATTGCAGGAGTCTAATGAGTCGAATACGTTCGCGGGATTCCCTGGGGCCCTTACCCCGGATATGGTGGCACTGGCAGTATATTACAACTATAGTTAATTACCTATACTATATCGAGGCTCCTGATTATTAGTATAGTATATCCATATATAATGGGCCTCAAAACCTTATTCTAATTGTTGAGGCCGCTACATCATATACCTCGACTATAGATCCCTTTTAGGAGCGCCTATGTAGGGTCCATGAGAGGGAACCCTCAACCCAAAGAACCCGAAATCCAACTTGGGTGGTCAAGAATCCTGCATGCGTCTGTCAGGTCCTCCTCATCCAACGCCAGTGAGTCCCAAAGGAACTGGACGGTTTGGGGTTTTAGGGTTTAGGGGTTTAGTTTAGGGTTGAGGAACTGGCACGGAACAGCTCAAACTTTTCGACCGCAGGGTCTGTTGTGACAGTGAGCATTTATTAACTACAGTCAGAAGTGTTGTATGAATTATGACAGCTGTCAGCCCATGTGGTTGCTACGGCAAACCGTCCGGATGTGAAAGTCGCTTTGCCCAGGCACAAGAAGCTGAACTTATTCCAACAAACCTGGCGAGGGTACAAAGGGAAGCGACCCGAACTCCTAAAACACTAAATCACATATTCTGTGTATATACATACATATATACGTAAATACATCATGCACTCTATAGGTGTACAACCACACATAATTTTATATATATATATATATATATATATATGTGTCTGTGTATTTACATATTGTACCAGATACTACAACTCAGCAAGTCATGAAACCCGAACGACCTCGTGATCTAAGACCAGAAGCAGGCCCTCCCAGCCTGGTACTCTTCCTTTGGGGCCACTTTGGCAATCCAGTTGTAGAAGGCGGGCAGCATGCACAAGTATCGGACTGGCAGCCTTGGTGTGGAGTCTAAGACAGACAAGCTGCGAGGCTTCGGGCTTATGATTTAGCGTTCAAGCTTCAGACTTCACCGCGCTGAACCGAAAAACTCATGGGCAGCATTCTGCTTCGTCTCTGGTAGACAGGCTGCGGCTTCCTGCTTCATGCCTGCATCTTGCATGCACTTACTGCATCCGCACGTGTCTCAGTATTATAGGAACCAGAAAGTTTTCAAATAATAAACATTTCCAAGTGCCCCTGAGAAACTGCACCGCTGACACAACTCCTGTAGCCACCAACACTGCACGGCGGAGAGTTCGCAGCCCGAACTGCTCCTGGGTACTTCTTAGGGCTTCTCTGGGTTTAGGGTTTAGGGTTTAGGGATTAGGGCTTAAGGTTTGGAGCCATGGAGCTTTGGGGGTTTAGGTTTAGGCAGCATTAGGCCGGCAGCTTTTCAAAACCAGAATGCCGGTCCCGAACCCTGCACCCTAAACCAGACACCCGACCTCCAAGGACTCAACCACGCATTTGAAAGCTCCAGGCCCCGCCCTGCAGAATGACACGTACAGTGGGTTTAGGGTTTAGTACAGCAGGACAGCAGAAAGCTTGAGCCGAGGTCTAGGTAGCTATATATGTAGTTCCATACTCTTTTCGGGCAGGGTCCCCAATGCAGAGAAATACCCATGTACCCAGAAACCCAACAATCCTCAAGAAAAGAATATGCCTCGCACGACATCAAAGATCCTTTCACAGATTCAATATGAGTGTTTCCAAAAATAGGGACTTTAAAAAATCCCCTAAATAGTAGGATCCTTATGAGAAGGACCCCCCCCCCCCCCCCCCGCAAAAAAAAAAAAAAAACTCCCCTATGATTACGTTCGCGTGTCCCGCACTCCAAGCAGGGTCAGTCGGTCAGGTTTACAGTAAACCTCATAGAAGTGCTTGGATTCCCTACCTACCCTTAAGGATTGGGTCTATTGGGTTTCCAACCTTCGGCTTCTAATTACTACGTTAGTATTACTGTGAGTGATATTCTTCTTATTCTTCTTAAACCCTAAACCCTCAACCCCAAACCCTAAACCCAAATTAAACCCTAAACACCACCAAACCCTAAACCCCAAACCAAATTTTGAGCTTCTACTGTAGGGCTCAGCCGAAGCGCCACTGCGGCCATGGCCACGAAGAGCAACAGCAAGACGAAGGCGTACATCGACACCTACGGTTGATGATATAAAACCCGGGGATCCCTTTATCAGGGTACCTTTTTGATCTGTAAGGTTTAGGGTTTACGGTTGATCATGGAAGTCCTGCATACCTTGTTGATCTCGGCTATGGGAAGTATGGTATGTCCTTTATTTATGGGTAATGCAGGATGTATGCCAGCAACCCTATCTACTTGGTCTTCGTGGTTGTGGGTTGGAGTTTAAGGTCCAGGGTTTACTGTAGGTTTTCCGGCTGGCTACCCTGAGCACTACGCTCGATGTAGGATGTTTTGTCAGATTCGTGTTTAAGAATTAGGGTTTAATCTAGTTCTCTAAACCCAATAAACTGTAGGGCTTTAGGTCCAAACTTCCATCCTCTGAATGGTGTATCGAACCAAAAGCGCTACGATTTGGGCTACTTGGCCCATAAAAGCTTCGAACTGCCCCCAGGCCCTAAACTGTGGGGTTGAGTTTACCCTGGGGCTCCAAATAGCCCAAAGTAGGTACTATTTATATAGACTTTAGACCCCAAAGAAAGTAGGTACTATTTCTATACTTGGAGCCCTGAGTTTAGAACCCTAACCCTAAACCCTAAACTCTAAACCTTAAACCCTAAACTCTAAACTGCTTCATTTTATGTTTTGGGTTTTTAGCAGGCCAACAGTCGGTCGGGCCAGCAGTCGTTAGGTTAGTGTGGGTGCCATAATAATTGAAACAGGGTTCCTTAAAGGGTTGCTTGTGAGGGCTACTATAAGGGATACTATAAGGGTGTAGTGTAGGTGAAGGAATGATTGGATACGGTTTTCTTGGCGTCTCATTTAGGGATTTAACGTAGGGTTTAGGGCTTAGGGGTCTAAAAACGGTGCCTCAAGAACTACAATGGCTTTCGGGCTACCTTTGGTGGCTAGTTTGGCCTCCAGATTTGTGACTCTACCTGTCTGGGGGATCCTATATACCCTAGGTGAAGGTAGGATACCGCGTTGGAGGTGTCTAGATGGCCGAAGGACTCAAGTGAGTTTCACCTCCAATGTTTCTAGCTAGGAGTTAGACTTGCAACCATCTGAGTCTCGCAGTTTGTGGGAGCGTTTGAGATCAGTCGGTCTTTGTGGTTGTTGTTGGCCGGGGGTTGCAATACTGTCGTGGCCGTCAGCGTTGTGTGAGCACCTGTAACCGTAAGAATAGTCACTCGCGGCTACAGCAGCAGCACTGCTTAAGAAATCTTTGGTTTAAGAATTTGAGCCCCTCGGACAGCCGTGCGACAAAAAAACATTATACATATATATATATATATATATATATAAATACATATACATAGAGTGTGGGCCAGGGTACCCTGGACTCGGTGCAACAACACCGGCCTCAAGACTGCTCACTGATGATACTACTATTATAGTATTACTGCGGTAGGACGAAAGTTTGACCTACTCCTTGTTCTGTCCAACACAGGCCCCCATTCCCCCATAGAATCCTGGCAAACAGGACCAACCGGCTACTCCTCCGGAAAATTAGAGTAGTACAATTTCAAAACGGTGTATAAAATACTCCCCTGGCCAGGCCACGTAAATCGTACTTTTCGGTACTCCGCTACTCCGCAAGACGTCTTAAAACAAGACAGACCCATTAGGTCAAAACTTTTGTCCTCCCGATGTATAGCATTAGTATTATGGAATTATAGCATTATAGCATTATAGCATTATAGTATTATAGTATTATAGTACTATAGTATTATAGTCTTATAGCATTATAGTATTATAGTATTATAGTATTATAGTATTATAGTATTATAGTATTATAGTATTATAGTATTACAGTATTATAGTATTATAGTATTATAGTTTTATAGTATTATAGTATTCTAGTATTCTAGTATTCTAGTATTCTAGTATTCTAGTATTATAGTATTATAGTATTATAGTATTATAGTATTATAGTATTATAGTATTATAGTATTATAGTATTATAGTATTATAGTACTATAGCATTATTATTGTTATTATAGTATATTATAGCCTTATAGTATTATAGCATTGAATCTATTAACAGTATGATTATACTAATCCAAGATGTCACCCGCAGATCGTGGAAAGGGTTCAAGCCCCAAAACCGTAACACTCTGCACCCCGATCAACACATGCAGGGCTTGGGGGTTTGGGATTTAGAATTTAGGGAACGGAGGAGCCCAAAACCACACGTCCCGAAGAGGAAGCCACAACTCTTGTCTGGACAGTCACACTAAACCCTGAACCCCATCACAGCCCCCATGCCTGCAAAGCTATCGAAGCCAAAGGAATCTCCGATCAGGCTTAGGCTCAGACAATGTGATTATTACATGATCAGTGTTGGTGCCGCTTCCTTTCAGTACTGTCCATTGTGGACTACTTGGAGGATCAGGGGACTTAGTAAGTAAGGTTGTAAGTCCCCTAATTGGGGTTATAAGTATCTATAAGTATAGTTACCTTATTTATAAGCCTATAGTTACTAAGTCCCATGATCCTTTAAGTATGCTCCTGCTAACTGTTATAAGGGACTCGCGAACCAGGAAGTCTCGAAACGAGCGAGCTGCTTGATGTTACTGGTCAAGGTCAAGTCTTTGGACGGTATCGACTAAATCTGGGCATGAAAATAGCCCAAAAGCCTTATGTAGTATGGTCTTTGGGCCCAAAAGCCTTCATATATGCGCCCATGGGCTAGGGTTTAGGGTTTTTATCTGCCCTCGGGGAAGCCCGAAGCCCTGCTATCTTGGATGCCCGCCGGTGGCAGCATCACGGCTACGAACATCAGCACCAAAGGCGCGAACATGCCGAAGCTGGCAAGAAACCTTGGCAATGAATGATTCTTTAGTAACAAAGCGAGGAATCCCCCTACTCTCCGAACTCGACACCACTTCAACATCTAAACCCTGACAGGAGACACTTCGGCACCTAAACCCGGACCGGAAAGCCCAAAGGAAAACGTTCCTTAACTTAAACTGCAAAAACTTGGTTGCTAAGCCTATAGAACATCACGGAACAGTCCTGACTATGGAAGGGGTATAAGTCTCTCCGACGGCTACCAACACCCATGAAGCACCCGAACAAACAAACAAGACAACACAAACACATCTCTAGTCCTTTGGGCTTGTCGTAACCAGGGAGAAAAAAGTATAGACTTTTAGTTCATAATGGTCCCCTTTCCGTAAAAGGTCCCCAAAAAAGCATTAAAGTATGGTACTCCAAAGCCCAGTGTAGGACATCCCATAGTATTTAGGACTTGGCCTTTAAACGACCAACTCGGAAATCTCAAACCGGCTAGAGCCCACTTACCCTCGGAGCTAAAGCCCCCAAAGCGCCCTATATCCCCTAAAACCCTATACACCCCGTTAAACCCTAACAAACCCTACAAAACCCTATAAAAAAGAACCCCATAAAACCCTGAACCCTAAACACCCTCAAAGCGCCCTAGAGCCGAAAGCCGCGATCCTTCCGAATCCTGCAGAGTAGCTGGGCCAGGAGCGAGGTGCTCTCGATCATCCTTGGGTCACAGGCTTTGGGGGGGTTTCGAGATTTGGTTCAGAGGGGTTCAGGGTTTAGGGTTTTAGGGCGCCCTTTTCAGTGTGCAAGGGATGCGTATCTGGGGGCTTCTGCAGCGTTTAGGGCCGGGCGTGTGCTTTGCAGCGGGTTCATGGAGAGTTGCCCTTGCCGGTGTGATGCAAAGCTTTGTTGACGGAGAGCCATGGGAAGGTTATGGGGATCTGTAGCAAGAGGCTGAGTGACCTCGCCCAAAGAAGGGTAAACTTTTCAACTATGGTAGGATT